ACGGGCTGAACTGCCTCTGTTACCAGCACCTGCATGAAAGGGCTCTCAGTCCCTGGCTGCTGGCAGAGGCCGCTCTGGCCAGGCCAGACTCGGGCGCTAATGGCGGAGAACATGGCGCGCCAGCTGGCTGATGGGCACACTGCAATAGCCATTTAGCCCCAAGGATTTCACACATGTCGTCTGCTGCATGAGACGGTGTAACGGAGCCAGGCCGCGAGTGGCCATTTCCTGGGCGGGATCCCATGCACCCCACGAATGAACAATGCGCCTGGAAGCACACAGAGGTTAGCACCTCTCCTGACTGCTGCGGCTCCAGAATCTCCGGGTATGTCTACACTACGGGATTAATCCGAATTTAGATAATTCGAATTTGGGAAACAGGTTGTATAAATTCGATTGTGCGCGGCCACACTAAGCACATTAATTCGGTTTTTAACCACATTAATTCGGTGGTGTGCGGCCACACTACCCCATTTATTTTAACCACATTAATTCGGTGGTGTGCGGCCACACTAACCCTAATTCGAATTAACAAAATCGATTTTGGCGCTACTCCTCTCGTCGAGGTGGAGTACAGAAATCGATTTAAAGCGCCCTTTAATTCGAACTAAATGGCTCTGTAGTGTGGACGGGTGAAGGGTTAATTCGAATTAACGCTGCTAAATCCGAATTAATCCCGTAGTGTAGACCAGGCCTTTCTCATCCCTAATGGCTCACCTGAGCCCTTGGTAGCACATGCAAATGTCCTTTGCATATGTACAATAAGGTGCAGCGGTACCAGGGAGTCAGTGATTCTTTACTAGGTTAAACAATACAATTGCCCAAGCCAGCGTGCGCTAAACCTTGCACTGGCGGCGTGTGGCAGAGGGCAGAGGACAGTGCACCGGCTGGGGGAGACAGCCTGGGCAGCTCTCCCTGCGCTGGGAAGACGTGCCCCGCGGCGTGTGGTTCCTGCTCTGCAGCATTTGGGTCTCACCTTACAGCCCTGGGCATTTTTGCCCTATTCTTCTTATTTGTCTATTTCATTGTCAAGTGGCTGTTTCGGTCCCTGCCGGCTGGCTCAGCCGCTGGTGTCTCTTTTCTCTGGGCTGGGTGTTCAATAGTTAATGAGCCTCCAGCTGCAGCGATCATTATCTGGGTGAAGTCAGACATTGGACGGGGAGGGAGCATGCAGGGGAGGCATCATTAAAGCTTCCTCGGAGGGGATCCATTTCCAACCAACTGATACTGCACGCAGGAGGGCAATTTCCCTGGCCGGATGCTCCCCCCCGGGGGTGGGGCCCAGTTCCATGGGAGAGCTGGGTAAAGGGCTGGTTCGCGTGGGGCACTCCAGCTCAGCTGTTACAGCAGCCGTCTGGCTCTGGGGGGATTTGTGTGTGTGAAAGGGACAGTGTGGTGCAGGGGGCCACTTCTCCTGGTCGTTTGCTACTCCTCTTGCACCGGACGCCCATCTAGGGCCAGTTGTCCAAATTCTGCCCTACCCTGACTCAGTCTGCAGGACTTGGGCCCAGTGTCTGCAATCAGGGTAAGACCCATTGATAGCAGCTGGTGCTCGTCTGGAGTTCGTTTTGGGGGGGAGTGGGATCCTGGGCTCGCCCATGACCATTGGGCTCATTTCAGAACCCATTGGCATTTCAGCTCTGCTCTGCCGGCTGGAACATCCGTTGCCCCGGGGAGCCTCCAAACAGCTCCGTCCCCCAGGCACGTCCAGGAGGCGGTGTGGCTAGGAACTGTCGCAGCACCTGCTGCTCTGTGCTAGGGCACTGGAAAACCAGAGCACTGAGTCTGGCGCCCCTGTGCAGGGGTAGGGGGTACCTCAGTCACACGGGAGGTGGGGGATCACAGCTTTCCAGACTGTTTGGCCCAGCTTCGCCTTGTGCCTCCTGGGGTGCCTCCCGCCCACCCAGGCTACCCATCCACCCCACAAGGCCCAGACAACAGAAACAGGCCCCAGAAGTCCCCTGCTAACGCACTGCCACTTCCACGCGTGCCTATCACCGCCAGCCCCGCAGTCCCCACACCCGGGAGGAGCCCGGGAGGCTGCCGGTGCCGTTACACCTGCCATTCCTGGGGCTGGTAGGTGCAGGCTTTCAGTCTAATGTCCCCACAACCCAGCGCCCCCTCCTGAGGAAACACTCCCACCTGTCCTCGGGCCAGGACTAGAGCTAACTGGAGCAGGAAGCGGCTGCTGGCTCTCAGGAGCCCAAGAGCCTGCTGAGTGCTGACCTGTCGCTTCTGCACTAAGCTGCTAGGGGGTCGCGTTGCAGAGAAACTGGACACTTGTGTATTTATTTTCTACGCCATTGCAGCCAGCGAGGCCCTGAGCATTGGTTGCAGCATCTCAGTTCTGCAGCAGGATTCTTTCCTTAGTTCAGGACTTGCTTCTTCCACGAACGCTCCCTCATGTCAGAGACCAGACAGCACTGCCAGCTGCTCCCTCATGCCCAGAGCACCGCCAGACAGGCCCCTGCCCAGCAGCCCAGTGCATGCCATGGGGCTGTGCACCACCCCAGCCCTTGGCCCCCAGAACTAGAGCCCGCTCAGCCTGGCCCGATGGCACCTTCAGTCCAGTCAGTCACAGGTGGGTCCCAGAGCCCGGGGGTGTCTGTGCTGAGGCCCCTGAGGCCCCCGGAGCAGGCCTGACTGGGAGACCCTGCCGTCCGGGTTCTGTGCTGGCAGACAGCACCAGACACGACTGTGGAGTCCCAAAGGGCGCCACGTTCTCACCCTTCCTGTTCATGCCTGTGCCTACAGCCATGGCCTGGGGGCAGCAGTGCGTGGAGATGGCTGGGGAGGGGGTGGTGACGGGTGCACGGCCTCTCTCCTCTGAGCCTTGGGTGTCAGTGCAGCCTGGTGAGCCGTGGTCCCTGCCCAGCTCCAATGCCCCTCACCCCAGCGGAGAGCATGGGGGCAGGGAGACGGCACTTGCTGCACCCTGGCAATGGCTCAGGGGCACGGAGCAGGGCCAGCTGCTGCCAGAGCCAGTCGGGGGGCGTGCAGAGGACCTTAGCCTCCAGGGCTGGCCGGGCAGCACTCAACTCATGCACAATGGAAAGGACTCTTCAGAGGGGGGTGCTGTCCCCAGGGGCCCGGCACAGCCGGGGCCTGGCTCTGGACAAAGGGCAAGGTTAAGCTTTTTGCTGTCTTCTGAGCTGTAATCGCCTCCTTCCAGCCCTGGACGAGCCCTTGCGCAATTAAGCAAATTAGAAACTCGGCCATCACGTTTCCAAGCACAGCCTGTGGGAGAGGCACGGGCGCCAAGGAACTGCACAAAGAGCTACTGTTGCGGTTCCCAGGCTCCCGGCCTCCCATCAGACAGGCGCTCCTCCCGCTCACCCCTGCAATCCCCACAGCCTGGAGCCCCACGATACCCAGGCCCTGCAGGCAGGCTGGGAACTCGCTGGCCATGTCCCGGGGAGCGAGGGGCTCGTCCTGCTCCCTGGAATACCGGGTCTGGACTTAGGGGCCACTTTTATCCCTGGCTAATAAACATTCTTCTGAGGAGCAGAAACCCCCCAGCCAGGGCCCAGACCCGACAGCAGCAAGGCCTGGGAGCACCCGTAGCAGCTCGTCCCTTTATCCAGCGTGCAGAGGTGACTGGTAGAACAGCGTCCCTGCGCGTGGACATGGGAAGGGGGCAACCAGTGACTGTGGGCGAAGGCCGTTTCCAAGGGGCTTTGACGGAGGTGTATCAGATCCCAGCTGTGCACTGCAGAGGGCAGACGACATACAAATGCCCAGGGCCAGGCTGCAGCATCAGAGGCAGCTGTAAGTTGTCCTGTGGAGCAGACAGGCCGCGCTGCAGTCAGGACTGAGCCACGGGGCAGATGCTGGCCTCTCCCTCTGCACCCAGCGTGCTGCTGCTCCTCCTGTGCTGGCCCCCAGCTGCGGGAAGTCTCCTGGGGCTCGGCTCAGGAGGGAGCCCAGGCTCCAGAAGATCCGGTGTCCCCAGCCCCCCCACTGTGCCCCCAGCCCCCACAGACCCAAGGGCAGCTGAGGCGCCTCACAAGCTGTCACGGCCTGTCCAGGCCTGTGGCCGGTGGCCATTACTGAGAGCAGCAACATGCTGGTTTCTTTCGATTTAAAATGAGTCACTCCCTCCCCCCGCCCCCCTCCGCCACACACGTTATGAGAGCTTCTAGCAGAGCGCAGAGCGAGCCGCCAGCTCCGGCCCCTCACCCCTCGTCCCGCCGGGTCCTTGCCCGCTCCCTGCGTCATGCTGCAGGGAGACTGCAGCCTCTTTGGAGCAGACACTGTCTCTTGCTCCGAATGTACCGGGGGCCCCGCTCCTGTCTGGGGCCTCTGGGTGCCACCCTCAACAGCAACAGCTGCTCATCCGCTGAGTGGGCATTTCCCACACGGGGACACCAGCGCTGAGACTCTAGCCAGAGAGCCAGTGACCGCGCCATCGATGGACTGACCGCGGCTCTGGGGGAGCAGTCTGTCACCACCAGCAGCCCTGATCAGACCTGTCAACCCCTCCCCTCCTTGGGGCTATTGGCTGCTGCCGTCTGGGCTTTACTAGCCACGGCGTGGGAGGGTGGCTAGCATCCTGACTGCCCAGGAGCCTCCCACCAGGAGTCCAAGCCTTGGGGCTGGTGCTCAGGGCTGGACTGAGCAGCCAGGGCTGGGGAGGGCAGATGGACACCTGGCACTGGGGGGAGTGGACAGGGGGATCTTCTCCACATGTCCTAGGACCTAAATCAACCACCCCCTTCTCCTGCCACACCACGGGGCATGTCCTGGGCCTGCTTACTGACCTGGGGGGCAGCACAGTGGCCTCGCTTGCCCGCGGAGCATTGGAGCTCTGCCCACAGCCCGGGCGTGGGACTAGGACCGTCACCACGCGCACAGCCGGGCCCCACCGCCCTCCCGGGCACACCCAGCGCTGCGGTACACCAACCCCAGTGAGGCCATGGCCCCCCAGGGGGGAAAGGTGCCTTTGAAGTGTGTCCCTTTCCCAGTGGCTCCTCAGGACCCCCCAGCATCATGGGAATTACCTCTTTTTTCAGCACCTCGCTCTCCACGTGGCGCAGGTTGTTTTTCGCTTGCACATACATCTCCGCCGTGTGCTGGGCCTCGGGGGGCTCTGGCGCTGGGTAGCCGGGAGGAGGCGGGGGAAGCTTGGAGTTGGGGGGTGGAGGAGGAGGGGGGAAGCTAGGGGGAGGTGGCAGGGGCGCCTCGCCCTCCCTTTTGCCATCGCTCGGCCGGATCTCGGGGTTGAGCATGTCCATGTACGTCTGCATGTCCGTGATTGTCGTCTCGGGTCCCCCTGTAGGCGAGACGAACCACATCAGCGTCGGCAGCCGGACACCGGGGCTCTGTCCCGCAAGCCGCTCCGCCTGCCGGGAGCCATGGCCACAGCTCCTGCCCCGGCACTTCGGGCAGCAGCACGCGGCTCTCGGGCAGAGACTCGGAGGCCTTGTCTTGGATCACAGTGTCCTGAAAGGCTCCCTGCCCGTGAGCAAAGATCCTGGGCGCTGCATGAGGGTCCCTGCAGCGAGCCGAGAGCTGTGCTCCCACCGAGCACCACGCGGTAGAGGGCAGAGGTGGTCTGAGCCTGCCCCCAGCCTACGCTGCTGGTCATGTTGCACACATGAGGGGCAGCACAGAGGGGACCAGCTTCCAGCATTTGGCCAGTACGCGCTGTCCCGAGCCAGCCCTGTCCTGGTCGCCTTGTTTCCTAACATCCGATACCAACCCACTGGGCACCAGTTCCAGCACCGGAACCAGCAACCCTGGCCCTGGAGAAGGCTGGGACCCAGGCCCACATTCCCTGCAGGGTGTCTCAATAATCCGACAGGGGAACAGGCTCTGCTCAAGCCAAGCTGGGGAGTCCCTGTGCTGCAGAGAACCTCTGGGCTCAGAACCCAACGGGCAGACAGGAGACAGACGCTCTGGGAAGGTTTGAAAGGAGAAACGGCCTGAGCCCTGCCTGTGGCTCCCCCAGAGGCGTTTCCTAAGTCCCATCCAAGTCAGAGGGCAGATGTGCCTGCACATTGCAAAGGGAGAATGCAGGGGCTACCATTCATCTATTCAGAGCCCTTGGCACCCTCTGTCCATCACACAAACAATGCGGCTTAAACCCGGGTTTCACAAGCAATAGGAACCGGGGGATGCTTTTTATAAAGGCCCTGAAAACAGGTTTTTAATGCAACAAACGTTCCCCTCCAGTGCCACGGGCCCTCAGCGGGGGCCACTGGGCCAGCACCGGAGACCCCGACTGGTTGGACTGCGACTGGCGGGGGGCAGCTGTGGGAGTGACGGGGCTGTTTGCGCTGGCCAAGCTGAGTGAAGTGCAACGCGTCTTTGAACAGCGTCAGTGGGGCAAGCCACTGCGAGAGCTAATCTCTTCCAGTGCCGTGTTGATGTACTCGCCTGAATTCAGCGCCACCTGCCTTGTGACCGTCTACTGCCTGGTCCCGCGAAGGGCTCCCTCGTTAACGGGGTCCCTTTGGGGGTCCTTTGCAGAAGCGAGGCCTAAGTCTCCTCGCTGGTCCCACCCCTCCCCTGCCTGTTGTCGTGTCATGTCTCAGCTGATCCTGCCTGGATTGTTTGGTGTTGTGCATCTCTAGGGCCACTGCAGCGGGGAGTGAGCGTGTGGGACCTGGCCCACGCCCTGTGCGCGCCTCAGGGCAGGGACCACTGAAGCATTAATCAATAACAGCGGCAGAAATACCAGTTGGAAACTCCATGCGTGCCAAGCGCTGGCCACAAATGACTTTTGACCCCCGAACTTTAGCCCAAGAGCAGCTTCATTTATGGAGCCAAAGATTCTGTGACTGGCAACCCCCCAGCACTGGTTCCAGGCAGGCGGTTTAACATTCATGCCCCTGGGCTGGGGGAGTGGAGCTGACGGGCCTGGCATGATGCAGGCGTGGCGTTTCCACCAGATGGCAGTGGAGCCGTCAGTCCCCATCCCGAGTATTTCAGCAGCAGCAAAACACTGAACGCTGCTGCACAGCAGAACTGGCTGGCAGAGAACCGGATACAGCGCTGGCGATGGCACCAAGATAGCAAGCGTCCTCCCATCCCTGACACCTCGTCTCTCCTTCTGGCAAACGGCTCCAGCTGCTCAGAAGGGCAGAACAGTTGCCCGTCTCTCCATATAACAGTATCAGCAGCAGCTCGAGTTGCCATTTGAGTTACAGTGACTGAGATTCAGCACCATATTTCTAGGCAAAAACGAGCGGGTGGTTCGGCTGTCAGGAGGCAGCATCAGAGTCCTAACGCCTGGGCACTGCGTCGTCCAGCCAGCCCCAGCTCTCGCCATCTCCTCCCTCGCGCTGCGCATCTGCGCCGACAGGCCCCTGCCTCCATCTCCCAGAGAGGTTGGCCCGTTCACGCCGTGCGTGTCAGCCGGAGCGCTCCCACGCTAGCTCTCGTTGTTGTGATGCATTTGACGAGCTCGGGGCTGCCCTGTGGTGCTCCCTATCGAGAGACTGACATGAACGAGGGGCCAGCGCTTTCGCACTTCTTGGGGCATCGCAGACGAGAGGGGCCAAGCCGGTCACGGGGAGGCACTACGGCTACTGGGGACCTTGTGCAAATCCCTGTCTCGTGATCAGCTACAGCCCAGAACCACCAGCCACGTGGCCAGCCAAGTCTCACAGAGCATTAGACATTTCTCTAGAGCAGCAGCTCCCGGTGTTCCTTATTCACCATCGCTGGCCCTATAAGCAGCTCAGCCTCTGGGCCTATCGACCCAGGAGGCGAAGAGCCAGCACCAATACCCACATGACCCGTCCCTCAGGGGATGTCTGCACTGCAGCTGGCCCGGCCCAGCTGACCTGGGCTAAGGGGTTGTTTAATTCCAGTAGTTGTCCAGACTTGGGCTCCAGGACCCCGTGAGGTGGGAGGGTCCCAGAGCTTGGGCTGTAGTCGGAGCCCAAACGTCCCCACTGCAATTAAACAGCCCCTTCGCCTGTCAGCTGGCCCGGGCCACCCACAGGTGTCTAACTGCAGTGTAGACACTACAGACCCTCTGAGACATCCAGCCTCACCCCTTCTGACCCTGCCCAGAAGGCTGTGCCAATGTTGGTAGAGAGGCAGGGGGGTGGTTTAGATGGTGCTTTTCTTTTATCCCACCCGTCTCGTGCTCTGTACGCAAGCCTGGATGTGAGCAGGGCCTGGGGGGCTTTGCAGTGCCCAGCTCTCGCCCCCAGCCCTGCCCGCTGCTCTCTCTTTGCAGCCAGACTCTGCTCCAGACACTTCTGAGCAGTGGCTTTGTGAGAGCAGAAGGGGCCCTTTGTAGGGCTGGACTTACTTGAGCCTTCGCCCCCCGGCTGGCTGCTCCTCTTCTCCCCAGTGCTTGATTGGCTCGAGTTGCAGGAATCGTAGTTGGAGAGGGTGCTGGTGGGCGACCCGAGGTCGAAGTGCGCCTGCTGCGCAGACATGGTCGTGTTGGGGGAAGACATGCCGGAATCGGGCTGTTTGAACTCCAGGTCGGCCGAGGGGTCTCGGGACAGGACTCTGTGCTCCACGCTCTGCAGCCAAGCACACGCAGGCCGGGTTAGTCACAGGGAAACACTGCGGCCAGGAGGTCACTAGCATCGCTTTGTGCCAGTGGCGGGACCTCAGCAACCAGCTCCAGAGAGAACCGGCCACTGAGCAGCACCGGGTTGGAACCAGCAGAATCCAGCCTGTAGCCACCCAGAGAGACGCGCCCGGAAAGGCCCTGGCATTTGTAACGCCCAGAAGTTTTATTAGCTGACGGTAAATCTGCTGCCTGCTGGCCCCAAGTCACACTTCATAACTAGAGATGGGCCAAACTCAGAGCCACCAACCCGAGCGCTGAACTCTGGGGGACCTGCTAAACGGGACTTGCCTGGAGTCATCCGGGCAAGCCCCAAAAGCCCGTGATGTGCCACTGGTGCCGTCCTGGAGGGGATCCAATGACCTGCCTGTCCCAGACCCCCGGTGCTGCTCACACCTGCTCTCTGGGGGTGGCGCAGGAGTGTCCACAGGCCCAGGGCCGCTGTTCTCCAGAACAAAGGAAAAATTCCTCCAGTGAGCATCCCGGCAACCTGCACACTGTGCCCAGCTTCCCCCTCCGTGGGGCCTGCACCCCAGGGACTGACTAGCCCCCAAAGCAGGAACTTCCTGGCCCTTCACTGGCCAGGACTGGATCGCTCTCTCTGCTAATGGGGAAGGGGCATACAAAGTGTTTGCAGGGATGGAAGCTCCTCCTTGGCTGCCCTGCAGCGAGGGAGACACAGAGAGAAACACTCAGGGGGCGCTTTGCTCCCCACGTTTTGTGCCTTTCACTGGGCTGGCGAGTGCCCAGCGTGTGGTGCAGCAGGGGGTGTCCGTGTCGCCGTGGGATAACACTGCCCCGGTGAATGAGTGACACAGCAGAAGTGGAGCGAGAGTCTCAGGGCTTGTCTACACTTGAAAGGCTACGACGGCAGAGCTGCGCCACTGCTGGGATCCAGCCCATCGGCGTAGCTAATCCACCTCCATGAGACGGGGAGCTCGGCTGACGGAAGAATTCTTGTCACCCTAGCGCTGTCTGCACGGGGACTTAACTCCGTCGCTCCAGGGTGTGGATTTTTCAGGGGTGCAGCTCACAGATCAGCCAGACGCTCCCCCAAAGCATCCAGCCCCCTCTGAGAGCCAGCACATGCGCCCCACATGGCCCCAGCCCCTCGCCTCAGGCCATGTGGTGATGTGGGAGGACACCACGCTCGCGGGGGAATCTCCTGCTCCCTGAATCCCGCACCAGCAGGGCCCATCAGCTGCATGCAATGTGGCCAGCTGCCCCTGCCCCTGCCAGCGAGGGCCCCGCACCCACAGACCCTTCCTGCCCTGGGAAGCTGGAGGCACTGAGCACGGTCCTGGCCCTATGAACAAACAGCACCTGTGGGTCTGGAGAGCTCCCCTTTGTCACTGAGAGGATGTGACAAAGGGTTAAAGTGCCCGGGAGGTGGGAGACACCCAGCTGCTCCTCAGTCTCTCTGCAAATGCTCTGACAGAACGTCCATCCCCTGAGAGAGGGCACGGGAGTCCCGCACCCTGAGGGCCGGCCTGGCACAGCTGCAGAAACACTGGCACTAACTGGGCAGAGCTAGCAAGGAGCCCCCCCAGCACTCCAGAGACCCAGCTTACGTTGCCCGGGCTAATGGTTGCCCGGTGGCTTGGGGACACTCACCCGCTGTGGCACACGCTCACGGAGCAGCTGGGCACCTTCTCCTGCAGGAGGCAAGCTCCTAACCAGCAGCAGCCTGGCTCCTGCCACGGGGCCAGTGCATGTGCCCAGCTCCTCAGGGAGCCCCTGGGCAGTCCTTCTGCCCGCTGCTCAGGGTAACCTCCAGCTGCCAGGTGCTCATTGGCCCTCGTAAGCAAGGCTAAGTGACACTGGTTTCCAGGAATGGTGTCCTGGGAGTCTCTGTCAGAGCTGAGCCGGGGCAGGGAACCACACCGAGACTGCTCAGCTCCCGCAGCATGGCAGGGCACGGCGTCCCTCGGGAGCTGGGTGTGGTGCTACCCCCTCCAGCAACAACAGGCAACAAAGGGGCCCGGCAGCAGCCAGCAAGTCACCAGCAAATCAGCTGCTGCTGAGCACAATGGGCTGGTGGAAAACCCAGCAATGAACAATGCGGCAGCGGGCTCTGCAAGGAGGGAGGCCAGGGCCCCTGGGTCCAGTGGGCTGGGCGCCCTGGTACCGGGAGTGGGCGTGTCTGGAAGAGCCCTGCGTCTGGAGGGAGGGCAGTGCCTGCAGGCTCCACAGGTACATGGCTGGCACTGGCTGGGGGGCTCTGGAGACCCCCTGCTCTCTGGCTCTGGGCTGTACAGGTGAGTTTGGGACACTGATTGAGGCCTGGCAGGAGAGGCAGAGCTGCTACTGAATGTCCAGCCCCGAACGGTTTCTGAAGTCAGCTCCCCTGTGTCTGAACTTAGCAAACGTGAGATAAAAATGCAGCCAGAGCTGTGCCCACCCTGGTACTCGCATGCCCCAGCCCCACTTCCTCCTCTGTCTGCCTCTCTGCTCCACACCCTTCCTCATGCCCGCCCAGCGCCTTGGGCCTCTGCGCGTCTCTGAACAGGGGCGCAGCAGCAAAGGGGCCGTGTGGTGGGAGCTGGCAGTGCGGGGCCGCACCATGTTCTCGACGGTGCGGAGGTACTTGGCGCAGTGGCTATGCCCGTTGTAATCAGCGAGGTCAGCGGCTGTGTAGCCATCCTGGTCACGGAGCCCCAAGTTGACACCATTCACCACGAGGATTTGACAGCACTGGAAGGAGATACAAGGGGGGCGTGATGGAGGGTTTGGCAGGGCAGATCCCACTCAGGCACAATCCAGCTGGGGGAGAGTTCGGGGGAAGGGGACGGGCTGCTACACACCCGACCCCAGATGAACCTGAGCCGCACTCGGACTGGGGGGCGGGGTGTGTGTGTGCGAAGCCAGACCCCACTCAGTATGGCACAGCAGGACAGGGCCGTGCCAGGGTCTTACACATGCTGGTATTGTGCTGGTGTGCCATGGCAGGCTGGTACTGTGTTGGGATGCTATAGCTGGGTGGTACCGTGGCAGGGCAGTATTGTGGCAGGGCAATACCATGGCAGAGTGGTGTTGTGCCAGGGCGGTGTTGTGCCAGTGTGCACTGGTGCCGTGGCAAGGCGGTGCTGTGGCAGGGCGGTGTTGTGCCAGTGTGCATTGGTGCCGTGGCAGGGCGGTGCTGTGCCAGTGTGCACTGGTGCCATGGTAGGGCGGTGTTGTGCCAGTGTGCACTGGTGCCGTGGCAGGGCGGTGCTGTGCCAGTGTGCACTGGTGCCATGGCAGGACGCCTTCACTGTCCTCACCCTCTGATGAGTTTTCACTGACTGGAGCTTTCCCAGTGCAGAACAACTCTGTTCACAATCAGATCTGCCCCTGAGGCAGCTCCATTTCCTCCCACAGCTCAGCCCTCCCCAGGGCAAAGCCTGCAGCAGCTTCGCTCTGCGCCCGCCCGCACCACACTGACCTCCAGCTCTCCGTTCTCAGCAGCATCGTGCAGCGGCGTCCCCCCCCACCGGTCGGTGGTGATCTCTCCCCCGTGCAGGAGCAGCCAGCTCAGCACTTTGGCGTGGCCGCGGCTGGCAGCAAAGTGCATGGCCGTCGCGCCGTCGTCATCCTGCTCCGACAGGCTGATGCTGGTGAAGCTCATCTGTAAAATGGAGAGAGAGGCTGCGTGGTCCAAGCCCTGTCCATTGAGTGACACCGCAGCAGCCAGCTGCCTCCAGCGGGCCCGGAGACCCCAGCACTGGCGTGGCAGGATCCCAGCAGCATGGCCCTCTGCCGGATAGCAATGCCTGGTACCTCTGGGCCAACGGAGCAGGAGCCTGGAGTCTCCAGCAACTCAGGATGGAGCGCTGGCAGGGCGACTGGGGCCCGTCTAGGTCTGACTTAGCCAGCGCGGGAGGCTGCGTGGCAGGTATCCTGGTGCAGAAGCAGCAGCCTGGGCCTGGCTCAAGTCGATTCGGAGCAGGGGTAACTAAACCCCCATCAGCTGATCTTATGCTGACCCTGGGCGCTCACACAGTCACGGCCAGTTCAAGCGACCCCGGAGCAACCTGCCAGTCAGACAAACCCTTCGACAGTGTCTGGGCGGTGCCAGACTCCGAGTTCCCGCACGGCCCTTTGATCTGTAGTAGCCTCATGCGAGCTGACATCAGGGGGAGCAGAGCTCCTCGCATACTCTGTGAAACTGGGTGCAAATCCCATGGGCCTGGAAATGGGGACGTGACCCAGCCCGGGGCTAAGCACCCCCAGCAATTACAGCAAAGCTCCTGCTCTAAACCCCGCCCCTCAAGCCCCTCTCGCCCCGTGCTCGGACAGCCCTCCAGCGAGATCGCCTGCCAAACGGCTGGGAAGCGGGCAGTGCCCCCGCGCCGCAGGCTGCATGGGTTCTGGCACAGGCAGCACTCACCAGCCAGACGATGACGGTGTTGTGGCCCATCTGAGCAGCCGCGTGGAGCGGGGTCATACCGTCATTGGCGCGCACGTGGGGATCTGCTCCGCAGTCCTTCACCAAGTACTGTATGATTTCCAGGTGGCCTTCCTGGCAGGCTAGGTAGAGGGGAGTGGCACCATTCTTGGTCTGGGCACTAACACTGCTGCAAATGAGAACAAGACAGGCTGGGGAGTCTCCTTCGCCCCGTCCCCAAACGAAGTCACACAGCCGATGGAAAACACTGCTCTGGGTCCTTGAGTTTCATGCAGTTGTCAGCAGTGATGTGGAGATGCCCCCTGTTATGGCATGACCCCCCCCCACCCCCGTGGGCAGCTCCAGGCACCAGCGAAGGAAGCAGGTGCTTGGGGTGGCCAATGGAAAGGGGCGGCACGTCCGGGTGTTGGGCGGCAATTCGGCAGCGGGTCCCTCGGTCCCTCTCAGAGCGAAGGACCCGCCGCTGAAGAACGAAGCGGCGGCGGTAGAGCTGCCGCCAAAGTGCCGCCGATCGCGGCTTTATCTTTTTTTTTTTCCCGCTTTGCCGCTTGGGGCGGCAAAAAAGCTGGAGCCGGCCCTGCCCGTGGGTACAAGACACTGGCTCAGCTGCCCCCGCGCCCTGCTGTGGTGTGACCGCCCCGTGGGGCTGACACGCTGTGATGGGTTTCAGGTGCAATCCTGGCCAGCGAGGGGCTGTCACCACCTGCCCTGCAATGCTGGGTGCCTCACAGTGCTTTGCTGCTGTAGCTCCCAGCCTGGGACACTCCCAACCAGCCTACCAGCGTGCAGGTCACACCCTGAGTCAGAGCCATCCCTTGGGTAGGGCGAATTGGGGCGACTGCTCCGGGCCCCACGCTTTGGGGAGCCCCGTGGGCTGATGTGATTGGCCGGTGCAGTCGGTCCCGGAAGACATAGGTGCAGGAACTAGGGGTGTGTGTGTGGAAGGGTGCTGCAGCACCCCCGGGCTCCCGGCTGCCGGACCTGTGCGCCCCGGGCTATGCTGCTGCTCCACGCCCGGGGCCCAGCCACCGATGCAGAGCGGGACCCCCCAAGCCAGTGGGGGGCTGATTTGAAGTGGGCCCCGCATCCCCCTAGGGACGGCCCTGCCCTGCCCTGTGTGTCTGTGTACCAGACAGCCCCGGGCCAGCAGCTCTGACCCCAGCAGCCTGGCTACAGTCCCACCATCCCATTCTGGCTCCCACCAGCCTTGGTTGCAACCCAGGTGACTCCAACACACTCCCCATCCCGAATGTTCCCCAACCCGTGTGCTTTGCAATGGCCAGCCCTCTCCTGGACAGCTCAGAGAAATTAAGGGGCCCTTCGTTCCTTTAAAGACACAAAAGCACATCTAGCAAGATTCAATCTTTGCCTAAGCAGGTTTCTCATTCAGTTCCCAGAGACTTTAAGCCCCCTTGGTCGAAGGACCCATCTTTCTCAGCTTGCAAGCGTGTCTGTCTAGTGATGGATGCCAGGGTGGCTTCTCTCGTGGCTCATATCTTCCAAAGTTCAATGAACTTGTTTCAAGGGGCAGGATGACCTCATGCTGGTCTTGCCTTTCTGTGGGCTTCCCGTCCCCCTGTATGATTTCTGTGTAAATGGAGCGTCATTGTTTTCATTCCACCCTGCTTAATTTACAAAGGAGACAGGTAGAGAGCTGTCTGGGGGGGAACCTCTTTCTCCCTGTTTGGCCACAGACTTTAAAGCATAATATCATCCAGTAACCCTCTTTCCTCACATAGCGATTCTACAGACAAACCCCAAAGATCTCAGTCACCAGTGTGCCATGACTCTCTCTATCCACTGTTGCACTACGGGATCATTGATTCAATAGCTTATCACTAGAGTTCCAGCCTCCCACACCACCCCCACATCTTTATAGACCAGTACATCTTTGAAATGGATTCTTCTGAGAAGTAAAACCCAGATTAAACTTCCCTCGCCTGCTGGTACAGACCCATGCTGTCTTCTCCCACACGTTTTAGTGTGAGGTTCACCTCCATCCCTTGATGGGTCTGGTTACGGGCTATGTGAATAGGTTCTCGTTGTCTTTCAAAGTGCTTGGGAAGTAAACAAATTCCTATGAGCACGTCTACACTACAAAAGTGGGTCGACCTAACGTACGTCTGTATGGAGCCGCCGCAGTAGTGAAATTGCTTTTGAGTGTCCACGTGACACTCCTTGTGTCGGCAATGCGCGTCCTCACAGGAGCGCTTGGCCCCACTGTACTGTCAGCGGGGGCATTGTGGGATGGCTTCTGAAAGACGTAAGCGACGCAGTGTTTGCACTGACACTGCATCCCCCTAACTACATTGACACGGACGCTACGCCGCTCGTGGAGGTGGAGTTATTACATCACTTACAGAGTTAGGTGGACATAAGCTGGCTTGTCGCCCTAGCTCTGTAGTGTGGACCAGGCCGTTGTCTAGTGCAGCCTTGTTTACAGCTCCTCCTGACACGCCTGATTTCAACACACTGTTGTGATAATTCCAGCATATAGCCACAACCCCTTCCACCCACCACGTACATCCGTCACACACAGATACTAATGATCAGAGTTATTCGTTTTCAGATGATACTTCACAAAGCATATTTTGTACTAAGATGATTACAATAGTGTGTAGGATACTCTGGGTCACCCACGACATCACTTAATTACCCTCTCTAGGGGTTGGTCTGCATGGAGGATAAAAGCCTACTGCAGCTAACAGACACGCCTGTCGCTCTGGTGGACGAGAGCTGAGCTTTCTGTTGGCGCAGGCCTAGGTTCAGGCCCTGCTGACCCATGGAAGGGGCTGTTACAGGTTTGTTGGGATGATCTCTGCTCAGTCGGGGAAGCCACTGAAGAGGTTGGTGCAGGGCTTCCACGCAGGCTAAAGAATAATGCCACATCCTCCCAGCTGGTTTTGGGATTCCCAAACACCTCCCAGGCACACGGCCCATGCTGCCCGGACATGCACATGCCCCACACCACTCGGACGTGCTGGCAGAGATGGCACGTGGGCTGCAGAGACACAGGCACCACAGCAGGATAAGTGACCAGGCTAAGGCTCAGAGCCCAGGAAACGCGAATTGGGGAGGGGAAAGGATCAATCTCCAGTGAAGGGCTGAGTGCGCTCTACTCCCTCTGGCGTCACAAGCACTTGGATCCTGTGGGGACTGGCCTGACGTGCTGCCCAGACGGGCTGGGCCCAGGGAAGGATGCAGCAGCTCGCTGGAGATGCTCAGGGGGCAGGACAGGCAGGAGCCAGGAGGACAGAGGCTGAGCAGCCCTGTGGCAGACAGCAATGCACCGAACAGCAGAGCACATGCCACAGGCAGGGGGAGCAGCCTCCCCTGCACTGCCCCCACCCAGCTCCCTCCATGTGTGACCGTGTGGGGTGCATTACCCCCCAGCTAACACCCCTCTGCTCTGCTCTTGCTCGGCACTCCCCTACTTCCCCTTGCAGATGCAGCAGCCGCCACGGGAGGTCATGCCGTTAATGAGTGTGCTTAGGCTAATCTCGTTCCTTCGGCTGTTTTTGGACACTGCAATTTAGCAGTATTTTCAAATAAGCAGATTAGGTGTCCAATAAACACCGACGCTGCGGCTGGCCCTGCCCATCACAGCAGAGGAAGAAGCTGTAATGAAATAATTGGGATGATAGAGAAGAACCCACCCAGCAACTGAATTACTTGGGCTGGTGGCTTAAACAATGTGCCCAGACCAAGTGTTAGCAACCAGAGGAGCCGGCAGCTCTGGGATTTGTCCGGCTGGGTGCAAGGCGAGGCCCCCACGGCAGCCTGGGCTCCCCCTCGGCTCACAGCTCGGTTCCCGTTCAGCTGGGACCCAGGAGAGCAGCAGAGAGTGCGCTGAGGGGGGCAAAGATAGCCAGCCAGCCCTGAGCATCCAGGCTGGTTTGAGGGCTGCCGCTGTCCCTGGCAGGACAGGGCTCCGCACGCTCCCCGTGGATGTGCTAATATTGCCACGTGCTATATTTTTTAGGTTTCTGGCACCTCCGTACGCAATCTCATTGGTGCCCCGACCCTGACACTGTTCAGAGCCCGCACATCCCCCAGCCCCATCCTGTCACAGCTAAGCCTTGCATTGCATGGGGCAAAGCGGCAGCATGGTGGTGCCCATGGGCATGAGGGCCAGATCCCACACTCCTTCCTCCAGCACCGCTCCCGCTGCCTGCAGTACGGACTGCAGGGGGAGGGGCTGAGAGGATGGCGGGTCTCCATTCTCCCTCCCCAGGGGAAGCAATTAACTGCATGGAGCACAACTCCGCTTTGGGACGCGCTGCTTTTGCAGGGCACTGCACTGCGCAGTATCACGCAGACCATGGGACGGCCGGGCAGCCCCCTGTATGACAGGCCCTGAGGGCTGGCCTAGAATTGTGAGTTTCGCCCTGGGAAAGGGGAGGGAAGGAGATGCCAGCGTGGGGCACAAGCACTAGGCTGCGGAGAGCAATGCCCCTTTGACTGGGAAGCCCCTATGCCAGCTGGCACAGTGAGGGGAGCTGCACGGCCTGAGCCCCCCACAGCAAGGGCTCTTGAGACGTGAGCTCCGCTGGGATCCCGGAGCAGGCTGCACCACACAACGGCAGGGAGCCCTCGGGATAACCAGCCGTGAATGCAGGGCACCATCTGCAGCTCGCGGGACTCATCCGAACAGGTCCACATTCAGGCCTAGCCCATCCCCCAGCACACGCCACGGGTTCAGCCTGGCACTGAGATGACCAATCCCACGACGTGTTATTGCTGCCCACAGAGCTAATGCCAGGTGGGGCACACAGCAGTGCCAGGGTGTGGGAGGGGGCAGCCATGCTGCTGGGTGCTGCCCAGTCAGGCCCCCGCCTGCAGCCCAGTGCCCCCGACTCCACCAGCAGACACAGGGACTGGCCAGGAAAGCTGGGGGTGGGGTGAATTCCATCATTCCAGCCCCCCAGCTAGGCCATGCCCTGAGCACACCCGGCCCCCAGGCCCAGCACAGGGCAGTACCACACTTGGCACTTTCCCCTGCCGGCGCTAGGACGTATCCCCAGCTCCACCTGCCCGGACCTGGGGTGTCAGGAAAGGTCCTCCCCCTCCTCTGAGAGCAGGGCCAACAGGCACACAGAGGGGACGGCTGGGCTGAGGCCCGAGAACAGAGCTCCATGCGGCAGTGGCCTCCTCGAGCTAGGAATGGGG